AAAAAAAATAGCTGGGCATTGTGGCAAGCACCTATAGTCCCAGCTACTTGGGAGGCTGAGGCAAGAGAATCACTTAAGCCCAGGAGCTGGAGGTTGCTGTGAGCTGTGACATCACAGCACTCTACCCAGGGCAACAGCTTGAGGCTCCATCTCCAAACAAACAAACAAACAAAAAAAAAGTATAGCACATAAATTATGTATGGTACATAATGCTAGATGATGATAATAAATGATCATGTTACTGGTTTATGCACTTACTATGCTATATTTTTTTAACTCTAGTTTTATGAAATCATAACTGTATGGGTACTATGCTATATTTTTAAAATATAATTTCAGAGTATATGCCTTCTATGGGGTGTCCCAAAAGTCATCACACAGAGGGAAAATGGGAAATTGTAGCTAAATGTACTTTAATTTACAAAATATGCATCGCAAAATTTTACAAAATAATTACAAAATATTCTCTACTTCGGCCCCCTCTTTCTAAACATGCACACGAAGTCTTCCTCCCACTCATGGAGAACGCGTTCCAAGAGATCTGCTGTTATAATCTGCCACTGTATGGCAACTTTTGAGAAACCCTATACAAAAAAAAGTTAACTGTACATCAGCCTCAAGCAGGTGCTCCAGGAGGTATTTCAGAAGAAGACATTGCTATCATAAGAGATGACAGTTCCATGCACAACATTTCCCCTAAGACTTTCCAGTCGGACAAGATATGGAGGTGGAAAAAACTGATCCTGTGTAGGCGTAGGCTAATGTGTGTGTGTGTGTGTCTTAACTTTTAACAAAAAAATATAAAAAGTTTAAAAAAAGAAAAAAAAATTTAATGCTATAGAAAAAAGCTTATAAGGGTAATCATGGTATAAAGAAGGAAAATATTTTCGTATAAATGTACAATGTATGTGCGTTTTAAACTGTTATCACAAGAGTCAAAAATTTTTTAAAGTTAAAAGTTATAAAGTAAAAAAGTTACAGTAAGGCAAGGTTGATTTATTATTGAAAAGATATTTTTATGAATTTAGTGTAGCCTAAACATACAATGTTTACAGAGTCTGCAATAGCACACAGTGATGTCCTCACCAATTCACTCAGAACAGCGGTTCTCAACCTGTGGGTGGCGACCCCTTTCTAATAATGAAAATACATTACAGCAACAGGAGGTTGAGAACTACTGACCTAGAACAACTTCCACGCCTGCAAGTTCCATTTGTGGCAAGTGTCCTACACAAGTGTACCATTTCTTATCCTTTATACAGGATAAAAACTGTACCTTTTCTAGGTTTAGATACATAAACACTTAGCGTTAATGTACAGTAATGTGCTGTATAGGTCTATAGCCTAGGAATAAAAGCCTAGGCCTATGCCACAATATGTGTGTAGCAGGCAGGCTGTATATACCATCTAGGTTTATATTAGTATACTCTATGATGTTTGCACAAGTCATCAGACAACACGTCTGTATCTCCTTCTGTTTATTTTTCCTTTTTTTGAGACACAGTCTAACTCTGCTGCCCAGGCTAGAATGCTTTGAAATCAGCCTAGCTCACAGCAACCCCAGACTCCTGGGTTCAAGCAACCCTCCTGCCTCCTACCACATAGCTGGAACTATAGGCACTCACCACAAAGCCTAGCTAATTTTCTCTATTTTTAGCAGCGACAGGGTTTCACTCTTGCTCAGACTGGTCTCGAACTCCTCAGCTCAAGCAATCCTCCCTCCTTGGCCTTTCAGAGTGCTAAGATTACAGGCATGAAACATCATGCCTGGCCCCTTCTGTTTATTTTTAAATATGAAAATTGCATATGTCTGTGTATTCTTCTAAATTAAATACACATATCCCCTGCTATATATGTGTAATATACATGTGACATTGTGAACATTTGTGCATATCATTTAAAATGTGCTATGTATTTGTTACACTGTCTGGCAAACATTCAACACATATGTGAATCAATTTTTCCAGGACAGAAAATACATTACAGAAGAGATATTTGAGTTGGCCCCAGATGTTATTGCTATGGTAAACAGCAATAATAACAGGCAATATTCAGTGACTGCACTTAATGAACCAGGCATTATGCTAAGTAATTTAACAGGGTTATTTCATTCATTCTCCAACTGCTATGGGAGACAACTGTTAGAAAACCCATTCTAAAGACAAGAAAACCAAGGCATCTCCTAAGATCACACAACCTATAAATGGCAAAATGGGGATTCAAACAGAAGCAAGCTAACTTCAGGCATTAAGGAAGAGATAGGTGAGTGAATGAATGAATGTATGGTTGGCAGCTCCTGGCTTGCTGGAATTTGGGACAACCCTGCTCTAAGCCTAGGGCAGGGCTGAGCAGAAGGTAAGAGGACTCAGTTTAGGACTTATAAGACAAAAGCCCCAGCATGGCGCCTGTAGCTCAAGCGGCTAGAACGCCAGTCACACATATTAGAGCAGCCGGTTGGAAGCAGCCTGGGCCAGCCCAACAACGACAACTACAACCAAAAAATAACTGGGCGTTGTGGTGGGCGCCTGTAGTTCCAGCTACTTGGGAGGCTGAGGCAAGAGAATCACTTAAGCCCAGGAGTTGGAGGTTGCCGTGAGGACATCACTCTACCGAGGGCGACTCTGCCTCAAAAACAAAAAGAAAAAAGAAAAAGGGCAGCGCCTGAGGCTCAGTGAGTAAGGCAGCGGCCCCATACACAGAGGGTGGCGGATTCAAACCCGGTCCCGGCCAAACTGCAACAAAAAATAGCTGGGCGTTGTGGCGGGCACCTGTAGTCCCTGCTACTCAGGAGGCTGAGGCAAGAGAATCGCCTGAGCCCAGGAGTTGGAGGTTGCTGTGAGCTGTGACGCCACAGCACTCTACCGAGGGCAATAAAGTGAGACTCTATCACCAAAAAAAAAAAAAAAAGAAAGAAAGAAAGAAAAGCCTGTTTATATGCCTATAAGACACCAATTCCAGTAAGAACGAAAGTTCACTGAGGGTTAGAGACCTCTTAGTTGTTCCGGTAAACCAAAAATTTGAGCTATAGAAATGGGGCCTGACAGGGAAGGTCGAAATCAGTGACCTCTAACTCGAACCCCAAGCACGTCAGGATGGCAGGGCTGGCTTCACAGGCGTACAACCTGTAGTCATACAAGGACAGGCTTGAATGACCCCCAGTGCTTGATTTCAAGCTCTGCTGCCGACGTCTTAAAACCTTTGATAATCAAAAAATATATAAAAAATTAAACCTTTGATAATTGTTGAGCAGATAACCCCACCTTTTCATTTTGCACTAGGTCCCGCAAATTATGTGGCCAGTTCTGCTGCACAGTATACCTCCTTCTTTCAGCAAGTAGAAGACAGGTAGTAGGAAAACAGTCACCAGATTTTCTGAATAGGCCCCACACGTACTCACCAGTCAAATTTGCCGACTTGGTCTTCGTAGACCGCGACTGCTGGAAAAAGCAGAGCAGCCCACAGGCAGAAACCGGAGGCCAACGCCGCCGCCATGACAGAAGTACAGGCACCGCCCACCGCCGGCCCGGCATGCACCGGGCCTCAGACTCCGCCTCCGCGGAACCATAACTTTAAAGAGCTCTGCAGGGAGCCCTCGGCGGGTTGCTGGAGTCTCAGAGGCCGCTTGGACGCGTGGGAAGTCGCCTTGCAGGCACGGAAGAAAGTGTAGTCGGCGGCCCAGCAGAGAAAGACTGGCTGCCGGACAGGTTGGGTCAGGCACACGCGAGGGCAGCCCCCGAGGGCCGTCCCAGAGGCCACCGCGTGGCAGGGGCCTAACGGGGCGCACCGCCTTCCCCCGCACGTGTCTTCAGCGCGATGCCCAAATCCAAACGTGATAAGAAAGGTGAGAGAAAGGGACGTCGGGACCCGGCGGGGAGCTCCGCGGGCTGGCTGCCAAACCTGCGATGGGGGCTTCAGAGAAGCTAAGGCACAGAATGACAGGCCAGGACTTGTGCGAGGTGTCCGCGGCCATGCTGCGACCTGGGATGGGCTGGGATGGGCTCTTTGGGGCGGCAGAATTGCCAGAGGGACGTGGAGCCGGGTTGGGACGCAAGAGCGGAGACTCCTTAGTTCCCCCTCCAGTGCTTTTACCAGGCCGACCAAGCCAGGAGACAGCTCCTGGACTCCACCCTATCCAGGTTGTGGACTCCACAGCCTACCATGAGGTTGTGCCTCCGTGACGCCTCGGCCCTTTTCCTGTCTCTGCCCGTGCTCTTCCTTCGCGACCGCCACCCTGGCCGTAATTCTGTTTTCCTTCCTGCGAGCATAGACTTGTTCCGTGTCTGGCGCTCCATATCTGCAGTTGCTTCTCTCTGGCATGTTTACGCTCCGCTTTTTCTATGGCAGTCTCCTTCTCAGTTGTCAGTTCACATGGTGCCTTTACGGAGGTGACATCTCTTTCACACTGGCTGCCTAGCATATTTGATAAATACGTATTTAAAGGGCCAGCATTTTCTAGGCGTTGGGGGTTACAGCAGGCCAACAAGCTTAACATTTTAATCAGGAGAAATATATCCCCCCAAATACCGAAAGTCACATAAATATAGGTATGTCAAGTGAAGTAAAGAGAAGGGGAAAGAGATGCTTTGTACAGTGGTGTCAGGAAAGGCCTTGCTGATGTGACAAACAGAAACCTAAAGAAAGGAAGTGAGCCTCCTGTGGACTTCTCTGGGCAAATGATGTTCAAAGTAGTGGGAGCACAAAGTGCAAAGACTCTGAAGAGCTAGCGCATATTTGACATGTTCTCAGACAAGAGGGCAATGTGGCTGGACCAGAGTAAGCCAAGTAGAGTTGGGGGAGGGAAGTTGGGCAGAAGGGCTTCATAGGCCTTCCTGTGGAATTGGCTTTCACACCCAGGTGAGGTAGGTAGCCATCCTAGAGCTCAAGCAGAAGGTTGCTGTCATTTCCTTTTACTTTTAAAGGGTCACTGCAGTTACTTTGTTGCGAATAGCCTGGGGAAGAAGATAGGGGCAGAGGGCGAGCATGGAAGCAGTGTGGCCAGCAGTAATCCAAAAGAGGGTGGTGCTGGCTTGGACCAAAGATGTAGCCGTGGAGACAATGGGGAGTGGCTGGCTATATCTGGTTTGGCATCCTTTGCTGCACTTGCCACTGACTTGTGTGATTGCCTTTATGCATGCCTTGTAAAGAGGGACTGTCAATGCCAGGCAGAGTGAAAAAGAGGAGGCCAGGCCACTTCCTGAGGGCACCCAGGGCTTTGCAGTTGATACTGTGGGATTTCTTGGGGTTTTGTTTGTTTGTCTTAAAGATGGCCTCACGATGTTGCCCAGGCTGGTCCCAAACTCCTGGCCACAAGCAATCCTCCATTCTCGGCCTCCCAAGTAGATTACAGGCAGGAGCCATTGCACGCAGCCTAGTTTGTGCTCTGTTAAATGTTGATGAGACAATCTGATTCTGTGGAGGGGTCCCAAGTCAAATCTGGCAAATGTTAAACTCTGCTGGGCAGGGGGCAGATCAGGCCCCAAAGAGGCACTGCTGCATTGCAGTACTATTGCAAAACAGAAGTGCTGATATGTAACAGAAGAGATTCAGTCCCCAGACTGAACATTCCATAGCACAGGCAAAGTCTGCCATTGAGAATGTTCCAACAGCTGGAACAAAACCCCACCTCCACACTGCAGTAGGATTAGTCTAAAGGGTTAAGGAACACCTGGTTCATGTAAGTAACAGGAAATGTATCAAGAGACTTTAGCCACAGGAATGCTACAGAGTAGATACTCTTTGGACACTGGGAATAGCTTCACATGCCAAATGTGATGGCAGCAAAGTCTTTGGTGCCTATCTTTCCTCAGACTAACTTGGTCCTGCTGAGCTATCAAAGAGGGGAAGAAAGTAAGTCTGCAGTGCATACAGACGTATCTCTGGTCATCTCTCTCCTTTTTCTTCTTTATATTAGTTTCCTTAACCAAAACTGCCAAGAAAGGCTTGGAACTGAAGCAGAACCTGATAGAAGAGGTAAGAGCTTAGGAAAATTTTCATTTTCCTAGAGCTTATGTTTGTTTGGTTTATAAAGGTAGGCTTAGGACTGTTTGTGGGAGGCATACTGTTTTAAAAAAGACAAAAAACAAAACACATCAAGCTGCTTGATCCAGCCCTTTTTTCCCCAGCAGCAGCACCGTAAGAACTCCCAGGGTGGTGGTTTCCAGCCATGACTGAACTCTCACTCTGCATCTGGCACTGTGCTTAGTGTTTCATGACTGTTGTTCCCCTCACCCTCATAACATCCCTGTGAGTTCAGTACTAGGCGATGTTACCACTGTTTTGGGTTTTGTTTTGTTTTGTTTTGTTTTGTTTTTGGCTGGGGCTGGATTTGAACCCGCCACCTCTGGTATATGGGACCAATGCCCTACTTCTTGAGCTGTAGGCGCTGCCCATTACCACTGTTTTGCAATTGGAGTCACCAAAGCTTCCAGAGATTTGTTAACCTGCCTGATGTAAAAAAAGGCTAGAGAATTTACCAGATGTGCACCAGCCTGTTGTCTGTACTGCCTCTGACCTGCCAGCCTGGACTATAGGCTGGGTGAACACAGATTCCATTCCTTAAGACCAGCTCGTGATGCCTTTGGCAGCGACCAGGCAGAGCAGTGCCAGTAAGCTCCCCCACCATCTATAAATAATGAGGGTCCGTTAACAATTGATGGTCAGTTCAATTGTTTGTTGGCCACAGATAGTGGATAGTTCAGAAACCTGGCGTATCTATAGTACAGGGTCTAGATCCACTTTCTGTAGTTAGTGGTTCTGGTTTCAGTAATGGAGATAGGGAGACAGGCAGATTAGAGGCCTCCAGCTCTCACAGTTGCCACAGATAGAGCAGATATCTTCTCATCTGATGCCAGAGTAGTGCCCCACCCATGCTGCCCCTTGAACTCCAGAGCCTCATGAATTATCTCACAGCTTCGGAAATGTGTGGACACCTACAAGTACCTTTTTATCTTCTCTGTGGCCAACATGAGGAACAGCAAACTGAAGGACATCCGGAATGCCTGGAAGCACAGCCGGTGAGCAAGCAGTGGGGAAGGGGCCAGGCTGCCCATGTTCAAGGCGCAGAAGCAGTGTCTAACCTTTTGGGTACTCACATCATGCACTCTAATAAGGACAAAGTGCCATCCCCCTTGAAGAGCACTTCTTTTTAACTGTCAAAGTGGTGTCAGCTCCCAGGGGCAGGACTTCGTAGTTACTCAGGGGGATGTTCAGGGAGTGATCTGTTCAGGGAAAGTGGCCCCTCACTCTCAGCGTCTGGGCCTTTCATTAGGAGCATCATAAGGTTTAGAACATCAGTATGTGCACCGGGCAAAGACCATGACCTGAAAGCAGGCTGCAGAAGCCACACGGCTCTGGCTGTTGGTCTCTTGCTACACCAGTTCTGATTCAGACCATTAATTGTGCCTCCTTCATAGAATGATCTGGGGAGGATTGTTACATGTTCATAGTGCTGCTGGACAAAATGTTCACAATATCTGGGATCTGTGGATGGGGAAATGATGAAAGCCCCTTGGGCTGGGAACAGAATGTGGATGTGCAGGGTAAGAGAAGTAGACGCCTCTGGCCGTGTGGACTGCTGGGGACTAGAGGTGGTTTACATTTAGTGGAGGGGTTGGGGGAGGCACTTCCTTCACAGACCCTTCTTTCTTGATAGGATGTTCTTTGGCAAAAACAAAGTGATGATGGTGGCCTTGGGTCGGAGCCCATCTGATGAGTACAAAGACAACCTGCATCAGGTGCGCCACTGGCCCTCCTGGAAGGGAACCAAAGCTGCCTTCTCTCCTGCCTCTCCTGCATGACACCCCCTAGCAGCCACCTGACCAGCCTATGGTCAGGGAGACCAAGGCCTGGCTTAAACTTCTTGAGTTCTCCCTTGATCTCCAGACCCAGGGAATGGCACTCTTCTTACCCCCAACCCCTCCCGCTGTGACAGTGAGAAATGTCATATGCCAAATATTCCCCAGTTGACAAAATTGTCCCCACTAGAGAATCATTCCTCCAGTGACTATACTGACCTTACTTTTGCTTTGTAGGTCAGCAAGAAGTTAAGGGGTGAAGTTGGTCTCCTTTTCACCAACCGCTCGAAGGAAGAAGTAAATGAGT